TGTAGCGTCCCTAGCCGCTACTTTCTTCCGATTACGATAGGGTCGGAGGTATTATTACGGACTTGTACCGCATAGAAGTTAGCGTCTACCGTATAGGCGTAGATGAAACCGCTCTTAGTAGTGAAAGCGATCCCGTCCTCTATTAGGTGGAAGTCGTAGTCGCGATTAGGTTGTAGGGCCGAATCTACGGAATGTATCGTTCCCTACTTGTCTTTCTCCGCTTTTAGCGGCTTGACCTTTACCGGTACGAACATTATAGATCGTACTAGTACTACCGTTCTCTTCTCTATATATACTAGCCGAGAGATATTAGTATTTAAATTTGGCCGAATCTTACATTTAGCGGATACGTCCCCGTGCCCTCGGAATTCGGTACGCCTCGAGCGGAAGTTAAGCACGATGTCCTCGTTAGCTATTAAGTCGGTACCGATTAGGACGTCTCTCGGGCACTCGTTAGCGACTCTAACCTCGCGTTCCGCCGTTCGCGCTATATAGGCTGTTCCTTAGGGCGTTTAGACGGGGATATAAAAAGATATCGTTACGAATTCCGTATTCCTAGTCTAGGAATCGAACCTATTTATTGTAAGCGCGCCGTTAGTTATAACTTTGATTTCTACGGACGGGTAATTTTTAAGGAACTAGGATTTACGGACGTAAGTCGTCCCGTATCTACTATCGAGTACCGCGACGGTAGTATTTCCCCGCGGTGTAGCCTATATACGGGTCTCGACCGAAGTGTACTACCTATATACGTAGCCGGGGCGATACTCTCCGGGTGAAGTATAAGATAGGAGGATTGAACCTAGTAGGGGTGGCTGGTAGGTTATCGGCCTAGAGACTCCGGTCTTACCGTTACGCGTTAGTAGTTGCGCGCTAATAGGTACGAGGTTGTTTGACGCCGGGGTTTCCTTAGCGTAGGCCTCGCTTCTTGTCGCTAGGTGCGATAGTAGACGTAGAGGGGAGTGCGCTACGGACTCTCCGGCCGCCGCGTTTAGCGGCTCTACGCTCGTTAATGTAGCGCCTATTCGTAGTAGACGCCCTAAGCTAGGCCGATAAGTAGCCCTCGCTAACGAGGGATTAGGTAGACGCGCGTGCCTTGTAGCGCGCTTCGAGGATTCTACGGCTTTGTCTACGGACTTTAGGTTCGAGGTCTTCGTACATTTGTCTCTACGGTGTTTTTGTATCCTCCTATTACTAGGAAAGGTCGCGGCGCAGTCCGGGTAAGCGGATAGTTTGGCCTTAGTAGCTCCTTTCCTTAGTAAGGATTTTGGAGCTTTATTCTTTATCGGCTTAGTTAGTAGCTATATCGCCGCTAGTAGAGCGGTCGGCGGCGATGCGTCGGGTTTAAGTAAGACAATTTTAGGAATAATGTAAGAAGTCTAGACGTATCCCATTCCGATCTAATCGCTATCCTTAATGTTACTACCGTCGGTAGTATAATAGCTATCGTCCTAAGTATACTCGTCTCTATCTTTACCGCCGCTAGCTCTATTGTCCGATCTACTCTCGTCGCTTAAGTCGACTTAATATGTACTAGTCTAGTACGCGCCCTACGGAGTACTCTTACGATCCTAATTCTCCTTTCTACCCTTGTCCCGCTTACGGTCGCGGTCGCGGTCGCGGTCGCGGTCGCTTCGGTCGTTTCGATTGCCGGAGCTGAAGTTACTCTAAAGCGGTAGCTTCTAGTCGCGGTCTCTTACGCGGGGCTGCGTGTTGTTAGACTAGGGTTTGTTAACTGGGGCTAACGGAACTAGATTGTTACGGTTGCCGGTAAAGCGGGCGGGCGGCCTACGCTAGCGGCTTCTACCGCTCGATCTCTACCCGTTAGTATTCTAGGGATATCTACCTATATTAGGCTTGTATACGCCGGCTCTACTAGGCCGGTCGCCGTACAGCCGCTACTACTACGGCAAACGCTACCTTATTTCTCGGATAAATGTTTCTCTCGTTATGTTAGGGGTAGGTACGGGTAGGGAGAGGGCTAATATACTCTCGATAGAACTATAGTAGGATATAAGGCGGTTGTACTCGGCTTAGATGCCGGCGGCTTCGGCTGTCTAGTAATACTTATTAACGTAAGCTTAAACGTCCCGGCTAGCGCGGACCTCGTTAAAACTATAGTAAAGTAAGTCTATCTTACGCTAGGAGGCTCCTACATCTAGCTTAAAGTCGTACTAGATTTGATTAATCTAGTTACTAATCCTCGATCCTTAGTATAGCTACTCCCGGGTAGCTTCGGTAAGACTACCGTAGTACTAGGTAATAGCGGAACCGCGTAAGCATTTGAAAATGTTCCTACGGAATACTTCGTTATCGTCGAATGCTCGTACCGCTATATTAAGCGCGTTAATAAATACTATAGTAGTAGTATAGATAGGTGCCCTATTAGAGCCTATTATAATCGGGTACTAGTAGCCGTCTTCCGTGTATACTAGGTCGAAATAACCGATATCTTATAGGCGGAAGGCTTAACGGTAACGAGATAGTCTACTAGTACTAGTAGTAGTAGATTTCTCGGCGAGAAGCTAAAGGGCGTAGGTAATTCGGTCTATAGTATCCTTAGCGACGGGTAGGCGTCTACCCGACGGTTAGGCGTAGTCGGAGGCTCGGTAATTATAGCGGCCCTTACGCTCGAACGGTCTGGCCGGACTAGTAACGGGGTGTCTACCTACGTATACTTAGTCAAAATCGCGGTATAACGGTCGATATTCTTCCTAGCGTCTACCGTAGGAGCCGGCTACATATCCTAGCTCGTAACCCTACTCGTTACGCCTATAATAGTCGTTATATACTCCTACGGCGTATAACTGCGCTTACGGGCTCTCGTTATAGTCTTCGGCGTAAAGGTCGTTAAAACGCCGCTAAAGTGGGTCCTACTCGCGTCTACGCGTTTGTAGGCCTTTAGCGGCCCTAGCGTTAGTAAAGCCTTAGTAGAGTGTACGGGCGTCCTTAAGCTACTACTCGTCTCGTAAGAAGGGGTAAGGGGGGCGTCTACCGTTCTTAGAGACGGCTGCTACCGATGGGACTGTATAGTTAACAAGTACTAGGGTAGGTCTGTAAGGCTAGGGAGCTTGTACGTTAGGTAGTAGCGGAGCGGGGGCTTGATACTCGGGCTACTTACCCTTGTAAGCTGTCTTTACTACGTTAGGTAGCGTGACCGGTCGGAAGGACGCTGTAATAGCCTACTATTAAGCTCTAGTAAGGTTGGTGCCCCTAAGGGCTTCGGGGAGCGCGTCGTCGGGGACGACATCCGAGATGTCGGTACTATTAGGATAGTCGCCTAGGACTAGGGTTTAGTTATTAGAGCGGTGGACGCCTACTTAAAGAGGCATCTTCCTTGTAGGATGGGCGTCGCCTACGGTCTAATTAACCTAATCGGCGGCTTGGGAGATACGTTAAAAGCGGTCCTTAAGGCTACGGATCTTGTTTTCCGCCTTAAGGAGTTAGCTTTCCTCGAGCGGTTAGTACCGACTTGTAAGCTGTGAATCGGAGAGGGCTCTCCTAAGTGCCGGCGTCGATTCTCCTTACGGCGTTCCGAGAGGTAGAGTCGGGTGGACTCGCGAAGGAGCGGCTACCGAGGCTGCCGGCTTGGGTGTAGCCTTATTAGTTAGCTTTGGGGCAGGCGTGTCTACTAGCGATATAAGGCTAGCTGCCTTCCACGTAGCGTACGCTGTTCTTGTAGTCTCTAGTTGAAACTTTCGAACTACTACGTTAATAGCGTGGAGAAAGGCGTCCCTATTACTGTCCTAAGTGTTAGGGTATCCGGTAACTAGGGCGGGAGTGGATCTAGTACTACGACCGTTTCGCCGGGTAGGTTCTTTTTCGAAGTCTCGTAGTCTGCCGTATCTGTCGATTAGGAAATAAACTAGTAGCTCGTCGTCCAAATCCGCGAATTGGTACTCGCCGCTGTAAGATCTAAGGTATTGCTTAACTCGACTTATCTAGCGGAGATTATCCTCCGTAGGCGGTAATAGTACGTTCCTTAGAGCTAGAGTAGACGCTACGATAAGCCGTTAGTACGTTAGGGTCTACGAACCGCCGATTGCGAGCGGAGTAGGACCTAACGGTAATAGTAGGTAGTAACCTCTAGCCTAGCGGTAGTACGATCTATAGTAGACGCGTCGCCCGCGAGGCCGCTTAGTAAGTTCGATAAATCTTGGCCCGCTATACTGTCGATAGCGACAGGTCAGGCTTAGCTAAAGTAGTAACGAGGCGAAGATAGGAAACTCCTATTCTTCGATCCGGGTAGGTAGCGGCGTCGAGTAGACGCGTATGCCTATTTGTAGAAAAGGGAAGTCGCTCCGGATCCCGGGCTGCTTCTAAGGAAGGTCTACCGGGTTTGTTAACTGGCTCCGGTTAGGAAGGCACTCCGACCGGTACGAGTTAGTTGTAAGGCTAGCCTTAAGGATGGTAGACGCCGAGCGTTCGTCTAGGATGCCCTAGTAGACGCCGGCTTGTTAGTAGATAAGTGTATACTACGAGAGACTCTAGTAGTATGTCGTGGCGGAAGCGCTGCGTCGACAGCGAGGTCCTCGTATGTCGCGCGGTAGTGCGGGGTGCCGCACTCCTTAGTTGTATAAGAGGGTTGAAAAAATTCAACTTATAGACAAATCGTAGTAGTCTTAGCTACCACTTATAAGACAGAAAAGGTGTCTCAATACATGGTATGTGTCATTGTTGAGTGTCTCTAACTAGTCTGAGGGCTGCCGAAGGTAAGTGTGAATGCTGAGCTAATCAGCCGTGTACGTCACTCCTGCGTGACAAGGATTCCATGAAGACAACTGGCACATGCGATCGACCAAAAGTGAAAAGCTGCAAAAGCGCAAAAGAGAAAGACACCTTGCATTCTCTCACCCTAAGCAACACTTTACACTTGTGGCGAAGCACCCGTCATCTCGTCACATCTCCAAATATTCGATGCCTTCCTAAACGTATACCCGCCAGGTCGAGCGACAACACCAACCTCTCGAAGCCCGAACTCGATCAATCTCGATATCGACATGACACCCATTGGAGGAGGGCGCGAAGGCGCTCTGTCACCCATAACACTATGCCTTGGACTCCTGCTACTGTTCGTTGGGACTGCGAGAGCAGCAGTACTGGGCATCGACTTTGGAACGCTCAACATCAAAGCCGCCATTGTCAAGCCCGGAATTCCACTCGATATTGTCTTGACCAAGGATTCGAAACGAAAAGAGATTGCAGCGGTAGCTTTCAAGCCGAATCGAGACTCCAAAGGCAAGATTCTGGCCGAAGCTGGCAGTTTCCCCGAACGAGCATACGGCGGCGATGCTTTGGCTCTCCAAGGGCGTCTGCCCAGTGAGGTGTTCCCGAATTTAAAGCTGCTATTGGGACTGCATTCAGATGCGCAAGGCGAGAAAACAGCATCGATCTACAGGGAACGCTATCCCGCGCTTCAGATGTCCCATGATCAAGAGCTTGGAACGACTGTCTTCAAGAGCGCGGCATTTACAGAAGATGTACCTCCGTTCAGTGTAGAGGAGCTCATTGGCATGGAGCTGTCCAATATCAAGCGCAATGCCGAGAACATGGCAGGTCAGGGAAGTGTCGTGGAGGACGCAGTCATTACCATCCCGCCGTTCTACACCGCAGACGAGAAGCGTGCCATTGTGAAAGCGGCCAACTTTGCTGGCCTAGACGTGATGGCTCTCGTAACAGATGGATTGGCTGTTGGATTGGACTACGCGAAGAGTCGGACGTTTCCTGAAGTGACAAAGGGCGAGAAGCCTGAGTACCACTTGGTCTTTGACATGGGCGCAGGGTCAACTAGCGCTACTGTCATGAGATTTCAGGGAAAGAGCGTGAAGGATGTTGGGCGCTTCAACAAGACAGTACAAGAGGTGACTGTACTTGGTGCTGGATGGGATCGAACACTGGGAGGAGACAGCCTAAACCATGTGCTCATGGAAGATTTTGTCAAAAAGCTGTTGACAAAGCCCGTGTTGAAGAGTCGCGGCACCACCGAGGAAGAAATCAAGTCGAATGCGCGTGTCATGTCTCGATTTTTCAAAGAAGCAGAAAGAGTACGACAGATTCTCAGCGCCAATACGGAGGCGACCGCGTCTTTCGAGGAAGTCCTCCCGGACATTGATCTACGAGTGAAGCTCACCCGTGCCGAGTTTGAAAAGCTCGCAGCGAACCATGCGAGCCGAGTCGCTTCACCAATCCAGAGCGCATTGAAAATGGCAAAACTCGAGATGAAAGACTTGAGCTCCATCATTCTGCACGGCGGCGCCATTCGCACACCCTTCGTGCAGAGTCAACTTGAGGGTGTTGTCGATGAGAAGTCAAAGTTGCGCAGCAATGTCAATCCAGATGAATCTGCCGTCTTCGGCGCCGCTTTCAAGGCAGCAAGTCTTTCTGCAAGCTTCAAGGTGAAGGAAATCCGTGCTTCGGATATTGCGAGCTACGCCACGAGTCTTGTCTACTCGGACAAAGGCAAGGAGCGGAAGCAGACTCTGTTCTCTGCAAGCTCTCCCGTCGGCGCTGGCTCAACTACAAAGCAAGTTACTTTCAAGGACAAGGAGGACTTCACTTTCAGCTTCGTCCAGAATGTTGACGAAACGGACCTCCCTGTGTTGAAAGTCAAATCGGAGAATCTCACCAGCTCTGTTTCCGAGCTGACGCGCCGTGTCGGGTGCGACCAGGACGCGATGAGCACCAAGTTCAGTATCCGTCTCAGTCCATCTCATGGAATGCCCGATATCGCAGGAGGAAGTGTGAGTTGCGAAGTCGAAGACGACACCAAATCTAGCATGGGAGACTCCGTCAAGGGCTGGCTTGGCCTTGGGAAGAAGAAAGATCAGGAGCCCTTGAAGGATGACTCTGGCGAGGAAGGACCAGTCGAAGAAGTCGATGCCACGGCATCGGCTTCCCAGACCACCGGTAGTGAGACCGCGACTTCATCAGACGCAGCTACCAGCTCCAAGGCTCCCGAAACTACCAAGAAGCGCACTGAGGTGATCAATCTGCAGTGGTCCGTGACTCCAGCGGGTAACGTTCAGCCTACGACGGAGCAAATCAAGATCATGTTGGACCGCCTGAAGCAGTTTGATGCCTCTGACAAGGCTCGTTATGAACGTGAGGAAGCCCAAAATGTGCTGGAAAGCTACACTTACTTCGTCCGTGATTTCCTGGAGAACCAAGATTACTTTTCCGCAAGCACTCAGACAGAGCGAGACTCGATCGCTGCGGCATTGCAGTCGACGCGTGACTGGATGGAGACAGGTGAGCCTGGAAGAGCTACAAAGGCCGTGCTTACCGAGAAGCTCGACGCCTTGAAGTCGCTCGTGGAGCCGATCAGAACGCGGAGATCTGAAAGTAATCAGCGTCCAGAGCTCCTGAAAGGCTTGCAGAAATCGCTTGACGAGGTACAGAAGTACCTTTTGAAAGTAGAGTCTGATTCTGCCAAAGTAGCCTCGAGCATTGCCAAAGCCGCAACCGAATCGAGCACAGCAACTGTTGCGGAGACCACGGAGAGTCCAGACGCCGATGACCTTGAGGAGCCAGAGACGAGCACATCGTCAGCTCCCAAGTCCAGCGAAACCGCCGTCACGAACCCTTACGACAGTCTGGATCTCTCTACTGTAAAGGAGTTGTATGATTCTACTTCAGCGTGGCTAAAGGAGAGAGTTGCAGAGCAAGAGAAGCTCAAGCCTCACCAGGACGCAGTCCTCACAACCAAGGATCTCGAAAAGAGGGCCAATGAGCTAAAGAAGACGTTGAATGACCTCATGTACCAAGTCAACAGAGTGACAAAACCCACGGTAAAAAAGACCAAAGCATCCAAGACCAAGACGGCAAAGAAGCCCAAGTCCACAGCCACTGATGCCGAGGAGCCCTTCTCAACGCCGGAATCCGGCGCCGATGCTCAGGGAGGGACACCCGAGGCAGGTGACTCTGCTGAATCGGGCGAGGACAATCCGGACTATGACGAGCTCTTGGATAAAATGAAGAAGGGCAAGAAGTTCCAGAAGCCGGTGAAGGGAGGGGAGAGCATGGAGGACATGATGAATTGGATGAAGAAAGACCAGAAGCCTGATGCCGATACTGAGCATAATGAGCTGTAGCATCTTGCGTGGTCTTATAGAGTAAACGATAGAGACATGATCTGTTATTCGGTCACAGCCTTGCTTTGGAGTGTCTATCTCTTTTACCGCGAGTCAGGTTCATGACAAGCACTTGCATGCCACGTGATCTGAAAGCAAGGTTCAGCGCGCCGGGGGACTTCACTCTCGGCTCTCGAAACATTTTTCTTTCCGCCCTTTCCCAAAATTACTTTCCATAGCCACGCAACATATCGTTCTCAGGTTGTTTGATCGATAGTTGCTTGCGCTGGGTGATTGGTGGCGCCAACGCGTTGGTATGCTTGTCCCTTCCAGAGTTCCAGACTCTGCTCGATTGCAGACGGCATCTTCAGCCGCGTCCCTTCGGTCCAGGTACCCACGTCCCGCCATGAGATAGTCCTGCATATTAGGACAATAACTGAGCGGAGAATGGATACCATTTACCCGGCAGCCGGGACAGGAGTATTGAACTCAACGCACGACGGGCCGCTTTCCATCAGGGCCGTAAACTTGGGGTTTCATCGACATTCCGAGCCTCTGACGATCCAACTATAGCTTCCAACGTGGTATGTTGAGAGAGCACCTACTTCAGGTCCAAACGTTCGGCAGTCGAAAATTCCGAGTCATTGATTCAGAATGGTGAAACATACATGAAGCCGTGGTGGTGGCTTTGCACCTATTTCTGCGAATCTCGGGGCTCTTGTGGGAGATACGACGCCATCGCAAGATGGGGTCCATTATACGCAGTGAGGGCCTTGAACAGTACTGCAAGATCCTGCTCGTGGGCTTCGACTCTGAGTAGTAGTACGGTGGAGATCTCCATTACAAATTATGCCGAGTGGTAGGTACACTAACCTAACAGTCGCGAGTATTGGCGAATACGAATAAGAAGCCAGGGATAATTGCATGTGGAGGAACTCCTCATTGAAGATCACAGCCCGCTTCTGGACGACTTTGAGTCTTGACTTTCAGTCGTATTCTCAGATGGGGAATATCTGATGCCGTTGCCGAGGCTGAATCATGAACACTGGCCGAACAGAGTTTCGGCACCATTGCTACGACTTCTCTTGAGGCGTTTCAGAGGCGCTGTGCAAACTGGACCACGATCAGAGAAACCTCCTTTAACGCCGCGTCCGTTGTATATGAAAGCCACGAGCCTCCCAATATGCTCCTCCTTCCACAGTCTCACAATCCAATCCACAGCAACCATTTGAGGAGCAAGCTAGCAACATGCATTCGTCGATCATACTTGCAGCCGTTTGCGCTCTCTCGGGAGCAGCCAGCGCGGCATGCCTTACCGACTCCAATGCCCAACAAGTCGCCAATAATTTCGCCACCTTGTTCAGCAACTACACAGCAGCCTTTGCCAATCAGACCCTGGCTTCCAACTACACCGACCAAACCGACAGCGTTGATTGGCTTATGAGCAATGGAACTATGTGTCCAAAGGCTGTATGTCTCTTCGGAATCATTCACTTACGCAGAGGCTAACCAAGGAGGTCTTAGCTCGGCTCAGAGACCTTCTCCTCTCGCGCTGCATTCGAAGCAGCGCAGGCAACGCAACCAAACATGCCATTCAACGTCGAAAACACCTTCCACGACTGCACGAACGTCTTCATCAGATGGAAGTTTACCGTCAAGCCTCAGCAAGTTCAAGGAATTGCCATTCTACGTGAGCTAATCCGCACAAAAAATCCCTCTCCTCCCAGTCCTCAGCGGCTAATGCCGGTCAACAGAGACCATTCCCAACCCCAAGTCTCCAGATAACCAGCAACAGCCATTCCTCATCGACAATGTCTTCTCCGAATTCAACACTGGGGCTTTCATTACAAATTTGGGGTATTACCACGGAACGTCGCCGTGCGGGGCCGGGGCTTCCAAGAGGGATGCGGATGGAAGTGACATGCCGGCGATGTGGATGAGTTGATGATATGATGATATGATGATGATCAGGTTGGCTGTCGAGTCTCCGCGATTATGGCCCTTATGCTGAAAGTATGGTCAAGAAGTTTAAGTAAGCTTCCCCCTTCGTTCCTCCGCAAGGCCGGAAATGCGATTATTGAGCGGTCACGCCGAATGAAACTTCGAGTTGAGCAGTGATGAGATTCCTTTGCGGTTCCTTGGAGAGCCCCATCGTCTTGCTGTCAAATTCCATCCCCTCTGACGTGCTAGGTCCAGATCAACTTGTCGGAGTTCTTCTTGGTCTACACCTTCGTCAGAATCAACAAGCATTTCTATTCCCTGCCAGAGAGTCCTTTTCACAGGAGGAGGTAGTAGAACTTACTGCGAGAACGGCTCCGTGGACAGCTGTTTCAATGCATACCTCTCCGCCTTCGAAGTTCCCCGCTGCTTCGCCCTCTCCGTCGCAGTCATGACCTCGGGTGAGGAAGGCTTGCTGGAAGAGCTCGATTTCGAAGAAGTCGAAGTCGAAGCTCTCGGTCGGTGGTTGGTGTTGTTTGCTTGGTTGGTGCTCGCCATAGATATCACTGTTCAATCAACAAAAGCTATTACGACACTTGCTCGGATTGCATATTCTAGATTTCTTCCGTCTTTCGGCGAGAAAGAAAAGAAAAACCTCAATACATCCTTTTTTTTTCACCTTTCCGACGACGAGACGAGATGAAGATGAAGATGAAAATGAAATGAAATGAAATGAAATGAAATGAAATGGGAAAAAGGAACAAGATGAAAAGAAGTCCCCGGCACGCGCACGAGCACATGCAAATCTGCAACTCATCATCCGTGATGCGTGGTAGGGGCATATGACGCCTCGTCTGCCCGCATGAACAGGGGTACTCCGCACCGGCAACCGAGCGTATCCCGGCCACGGCAGGCTCGCCGAAGCAAGGTCGTTGCCGATTACTACAGGCTCATTAGATTACACCGTTCTGCCGATGTGAAGAAGAAGCGACGCGGCCATGTCGTCGATTCTGTGGGCCGGGTCTTTCCGGAGTATGTATGACCCAAGGATGCTGCAAATGATATTGTGATGTGTCTACATGTTCACCAATCATTTTTTTCCCTCTCGGTCCGTCTGATTTCACATGGCCACTGTCATCTGCTGGATAGACAACTTCCTCATCTATACTGGGTCTCGTCCTCCGCGCTAGAGATAGGTTCAATCAATTTCGCTGCATGTCCGCTCGTGGATCCTTCGGTGGAGGCGATGTCCATACCGTTCGAGAATCGGGGCCAATCTTTCCCACCAGTCGCAAGCACAGAATCCACATGCAGGTCATTCGGGAACCACTTCTCCCTCCTAGTCGTTGCGCGCTGTCCACCTTCTAAAGCACTCCTGGCAGCGCGGGTCGTGCGGGCACGCTTGGCTCTACGACCGTCTGATGTCAAGAGGTTGAGGCGATCTCGCATTTGCTCTCGTGCCTGGTCGCTGTAGACGATCGCGCGGACATATGGGGCCAGGTCCAAGGTGATAGTTTCCAGCGGACCGTCGAACACAGACTGAACAAGTCCAGATCCAGTGGCAGAGAGCTCCTTCGGCACAGCTATGGCATCAAAACAAGCGAAAGCATGCCGGCTCAGGCCGCCGTCATGTGCAACTCTTGAATCACTACCTAGCGCTTCCGAGCCATCGTAGTTGCGGTGTGCCAAGAGCGTCATAGCAGTGTAGAGGTGCTTAGCGAAGTTCATATAGTCTACGCATTCGTCCGTCTGCATTAGTGCCATGCCTTCAATGTAGTTGGCCCGAGCCTTTTCCGGTAGTTCTGGCTGCGTCGGATCAAGTGCTGCAGATCCTGGAATGCCATTGGCGGTTATCGCATCGGCCGCGCTCATGGTCTCCGTAAGGTGGGAGAACTGCTTCAGCGCTTCGAAGCTCTGCTGACGATTCGTGGAAGAAATTGACTCATGCGCTTTGTGCAGCAAATCATCCACTCTCAGCGCAGTGGTGCGCTGCGGGCGAAACTCGTTCCACGTCCAGAGCGATGTTTCTTCAGCATCTTTGGAGGGCGCCGAGGCCTTTGATCTTTGCTCGTAGGTCCCGTCACTGACAGTTCGAAGCCTCTGCCCATGCGAGTCAAGATCTGAGCCAGCAGGATATCTCTGGTAGATCCAGCTAAGGCCACCACGCGGGTCTCCAATTCCCATCTGGCACCAGAAGTTGAGCTCGCTGATGCTGGCCCTCAGATCACTTCCATGTTGCTGATAGAGAGAAGCTACAGCTTCGCGCTTGAGAAGATGCCCCTCGGCTGCCGCCAGCAACAGCATGTAATCGGTTGCTAGCTCCACAGGCGGCGGCGTTAAGCGTAGAATGGCATGCATCGAGATGGCTTGTACTGGAACCAAGTCCTCATCATTGCAGGTAATGATGAAAGGCCTCTTTGACGTCGTAATCAGCCTCAGGACAGTCGACCAGAAGTCCTTATCATCCTTGAACAGGACGTCGACCTCCTCCAGCAAAATCAAGGACTGCTGTTGATCCCTCGGTTGCTTCTTAATCGCATCTTGAACAGCCCTAAGCTTCTTCTCCTTCAGGGTGTTCTTGGGTTCGACTTGTTTCGGCTTGGCCTTTGATTTGAAGAAGGAACTCATTTTGCCTTGCCTGCCACTTTCAAGGTCCTTTTGGAAAGCTTCATCATTCTTGCCAGGTTCTTCGGTAGAAGACTGCTCACCAGGCTCTTCGGTTCCGTGGTGCTTGACAAGATGATTTTCGGTCATGTCACCGACTCTGTCAATGACGTCCTTCCCACTCCTTCGCTCGCTTGGGCCGATTTCGAATACCTTGAACCCCAATTCCTTCGCAACAGCATACGCGGCAGCCGTCTTGCCACAGCCACTGGGCCCGCTGAGTAGTACCGCATTGGCCAACTTGGTACCATTCTGCACAACCTGAACAATACTTCTCTGGACCTTTCGCGCATCAGAAGACGTAGATTCGTGTTCACCATCAAGTGGCAGCTCGCTCATCTCCGTGACATCTTCGTCGCTGTCGACGAGAAAGTCTTCCATCTCGTCGGCTTTGCTTTTTCGCTTTTTCGACCCTTTAGGCTTGTCCGACACTTTCGACGAGACGCTTTTGTTTGGTACTGCGACCGAACCCTCCACAGACCGTACTGCCAGCGATTTGAGCCAGTCTCTTAAGACCGCCATCTCATTGCCCGGTTGTAGCACATCCAATGTGGCGGCAGGCGCGTACTTTTGGGTCCAACATAGATTTTCCCCTTTCACATCATCGAACGCTGTCATTGTTGTTGGGATTCTGTCGTATAGTCTTTGCAAGGACGGATGGACCAAGGTATGACGCGCGACGGATATTTCATCCACTTCATCATCTATCACTTCAATTGAAAGCTCTTTAGATACCCTTTGCGCGATCTCTCGGCCGGAGATGAGAAGACGGTCTGGTACATGTAGAGTGGGGTCTGGGTCCAGAAATCCATCAGGCCTCAATCTCCTCTCCCCTGGCACAGCGAGCTGGCTCGTGAACCTTGCCAATATCGACGCTTCTGGCGGCACCGGAACCCTTGCCTGTTTGCGTTTTCGTTGCCCATACTTTTGATGAAGATAATCATCAGCGATGAGCGGGATTGCTGGGTCTGAGTCCAGAGCCCGGATGTGAGTGTGGTCTCTTGCCGGAAATGGTGGTTCCTTTGCGCCGGGATGTCTCGTCATTAGTCGGTCCCGGAGCAAAGCAGATCCAATGTTGTGTGACGGCTCTCTGGCTTCCTGAATGCGATCAGAGAAGGACTGCATCCGTAGCTTGCCAGGCGTCACCGCAGAAGCTTTCTTAGGCGATACATGTTTCGATGCAGCCGGCTGTTTCTTGCCCACGTCACGATTGAAGAAGGGGTGAGAAGGCTTGCTCGGCTTTGGCTTTTGTGGTGTTCGCTTTTTCGGAGTCGCGATAACTTGACGCTTAACCACAACATCCTCGCCGCTCAAAATGCGTTCTATCTTTTGACCAACTTCAGACCGCGCCACATCATTGGTCCCGTAACTGACCTTGACCAAGAGGTGTTTGTTAGGAGTAATCAAATCAGGATTCCGGCTTCTTCCACGTCTTTTGGGCGGACCAAGTATTGGTTCCTCCTCCGTGGACTTCTTCGCAGGTGGTGAGCTGAATTTGCCTTGCGCGTTCAGCCTCAACACCTTCCTCGGCGGTGTCTTCGGAGCCAGAGTTTCTGACTGGCTAGGCCGAGTTTCTGCTGGCGAATGTGCTAGGCGGGAAGGCGGCGACGCCGGTATAAGCACCCGTGGTGATGCCCTGCCCTCCTCCTGATGAACATAGGAGACTCCATCCGTTCTTAGGGATTGCTGGCCTTCCAACCCAACGTCCACAGACTCATGCTCATTCGTGCGTCGACGCTTCTTCCTCTTTTCGTCCACTTCGGGCGCATCCGTAAAATTGACGACTGTGCTTGATCCAGAAGCTCTCGGATTCACGATCTCGCCCAGCGTCTTCTGAGTCTGCTGCTTTCCCAGCTGGTGCTCATTCTTCTTGGACTTGCTCTTACTAGTCTTTTTCTTCGGTTTCTCGTCTGCTCCTTGCTCCCGATACTCGGCATCATCATCATTGTCCACGTCCTCGATGCAATTGGCTTCCCTTGAGTCTGCTTTTGGTTGTGTATGCTGGGTAGGTCGCGTAAAGAATGGATGCACGCTCTGGCCGCTGCCGTTGCTCATGGCAGGTAGAATGGACGCCGATGCCATTCACGTGCCGCTCTCATCTCTGGTACGTTGTGTCTGTCGTCTCGAGTTCAGCGCTGCAAATGTTGACAATGAGTTGATAGTCTCGAGTCTACCACAAGCGAATCCCACACACGCGTCTTGGATGACGCGCTGCGCGATAGTTCAATTTAGCCGGAGGGAGGGTGGGGCGGTGGCCTAAGCTTACAAATCCGCAAAATGGTTTTGCCGGTTTTGCTACCGCACCACCACACTCTCACACACCGTAATCGCAGTGGTTAGGCACTGATGTACTCGCTATCGACTCGCAATCTATCTATTAGGTCCTTTATTGTCTACTTTGTCGTCATGCCGCCTTAGGCCCTCGATTTACAGCCCTATCGGCTCTAGATTAAGCTTTAGATTTATACTAGATATACCTACTAGCGAGTCGTACAGAGCCTACATAATACTAAGGGCATTCGCTACGGTATTAGAACTCTATAGACACACTTATCGCGATAGGGAGTGACTACTCGCCCTCGAATTGACTATAGTAGTAACGTAGTACTAATTAAGCGGATTACCGAGCTATTCTAGCTATATACTATTAGCGACAAGAAGAGCTATACTATACTACGGCTTAATAGCTATAATATCTCTTTAAGGTAGTATTAAGAGCTCCGCCGTACTTACGGCCTTAAGCGTCGACTAGAACACGAGGAATTAGAAGTAGCTACTACCTACGTCGATAAGGTGCTTCGAGTAGTACTAATTAATAGGCAAACCTAAGACTTTAGCTATCGCAAGCTCGTACGAGAGTTAAGAACCTACTAGTATATTATAGGTAGGTAGGGAATCGACTCGTAGCCGACTCGTAGCCCTCTTCTTACTATACTAATGCCTACTAGGGACCGTATCTACCGGATTTCACGGCAAATTAACGCTCTACTATATAAGCTTCGCGAACTACGTAATCGCTATCCGAATAGGCTACGGTACGTACGACCAAAAGCTAATAGGCCTAACTACGTCTAGTTAATTAATGCCTTCTATAAAATCGAGCAATTCGGCATTTAGATTTACGCCTATATTAACGTCTACTTACGCCGGATTATCTAGTTCTACGTTAGCCTAATAGTAAAGACAAAGTACTTAGTGTTTTCGTAGTACTATACTATAATTAACTATATCTAGCGAGTCCCTTAGCGAGTCCGCTCTAATTAAGGTGTCGAGACACCTATACTAGTAGACGCCTATCTACGGCTTCGAGAGCTTATCGAGGGCCGTAATATCGACTTTGTTAAGGCCTTCTTATATACTACGAGTAAAGGCAATTAGACTATTAAGTACTAGTAGGGCGAGATAGCTAAATTAGCTATAAATCGCTAGAGAGACCTATTTAACTAGTATATTAACCTACACCTTTTCGAGGCCGCTAAGCTATCTAATCGACTCGCCTTCCTCGTAATCTATACTCTAATTATACGCTATATAGTTAGTTACTTTGTCTTAGAGTAGAATCGGCACCCGGTACGAGTACAAAACCTTAAGAGCTATGTTAGTAGTATACCGGATTTGCTCTACGAGTATCTAGAGCTCGAGGACACTACCTAGCGTAGGCATCTAATTAACCCTAAGAGTCTAGCGAGTACTACTCTTAAGTAGTAGATAAACCGGATAGACGGCTATAGTAAGCTCCGCGGGTAATTAAAGAGCTTTCTATATTAGTACTAGGTAAGTAGCTCGAAATTGGACCGTACTCGTAGCCAATTTAGCTGTACTCGTAGTCACTCGCAGCTCTAGCTACCCGCCTATAGAGTTACCCCTCTCTTACTCCTACGCTAACTACGCCTCGCTATATATAGACCTTAGCTTATACCTGCCTCCGACAACTCTATAATAGGTAAACGAACAGCTCGTACTCGCTAGCTACCCGTTAACCTTTAAAGGTAGCGAACCCGGATTCGGTAATAGGCCTAAGAAGCTTTATATACACGCTTATTAGTACCTCCGAGGAGTAGCTAAGTAGTACCTAGATACTAGTAGACGACTCGCTAAGTATATCGCGCCGACTCGCTTAAATAGCCTCGAGCCGTCTAATCGTACGAGAACCGTCTTTACTACTACTAGGGAGCCTCTATAAAGCTTCGTATATACTCGTAGTAGACTCGTAACGTTACATTCCTTAATACTACGTCTTATCTTTCTATATACGTCTATTATAGCTTCTTCTACTAACTTCTAGGAAGACTTCTATATATCTAATAAGGTAGATTATACTCTTAATTATACTAAAGAGTATAGCGATAAGCCCCGCTATAGTAAATGCGGCCTTAGGAACCCGTTCTTTACTATAGTAGACACTAATATAGCGAGTCGCCGCGAGTCGACTGTAGGCCCTTCCTTAATACTAGTACCGGATCCGATCGATTCCCCTACTCTACGGCGGAAGGAGCCCGCGTCTATAAAGGGCTATAGTAGCTTTACTAGACTCGCTAAAAGCTTATTTAGCCGTACTAATGCCGTTTTAGCCGCTAATAAGAAGTAGCATATCCGCCCGCTTAGTAATATAGGTATTAATCCGTTATCCGGAGAGGTATAAGGTCCTCGTACTAGTAAAGCGAGTCTATATAGGAGCACGCTAATCGCTACGAATCGACTTAAGGCGGGTAGTAGTAGTAGTACCGAGCTACGAGACGACTCGTAGGCCGACTCGTAGTCGTAGAACAAGGGTAGTAGACCGAAGAAAGTACTAAAGGGCCCTAAGCTTTACGTTATAGTGTATATAAGCAAAGTAGTAGTTAATGTAGTTAAGAAGGAAGGCTAGTAGAGGTGGACGGTTAGAGATAATCTAGAGCTAGTCGATTACTAGTCTATCGTAGGCTACTAGAGCGACTTTAAGGCCCTACTACTCGACTCGCCGCGTACTCGTAACTAGCTTTACTACTAGGCTTTATACGCTAGCTATATTAAGGTTAAGAAGGTTACCGGCCTATAGTACTACAAACGTCCGTTTATATATACCCGGTACGACAAAGAGTAGAAGCTCTTAATTATACTAAGCTCGAACAGTAGAGACAAAGACGACCTTAACGAGCAATTACTACTATTTAAGCGTAGGTACTAGGCAAATCCTACGCGAAAGGAGGTAGATATTAGGGTCGCTGTCCTTGTAGCTAAAGATAAGCGGTAGAATAGGCTTCCGAAGGACTACGGCGAGTCTAGCGAGTCTACCGACGACAGCTCCTCTTTAGATCCGGATCTAATAAAGAGCCTTAATAGGCGCTATCGTAGTAGGCGTCTAGGTTAGAGGCCTAGTACTAAAGCTAAAAGAAAGATAGCTAAGGAGGTAGTAGCGAGTGTAGTAGCGAGTATAGTAGCGAGTACTAGCGAATCTAAAGTAGTGCCTTCTACTAGCCCTAATAAACTAGCTAAATTCCGCTAGCCTACGAGTCCCTCTACGAGTGCCTAATCTACCGAGAAAGAGGCCTCTACTAGTCCGCTAGTTAGTTACAAACGTTAAGCGAGTCGCGAATTACCCTATCGATCTACTCCTTCGTCTATATCCGGTACCTAGGGATTAAGCGCCTATAACCCTATCGATATTATTAACCTTACTAATAATAACGACGACGACGAGCCTACGTACGTACGAGTGCCTAAAAGCAAGCTAGTAGTAAAGTAGGAGGCACGTATAGTAATAAAGAAGGAGCCTATAGATTTAAGTACTATTAAAGAAGGAATAGAGATTACTCCTACGGATTTAGTAGAGCGAGTCGCTAGCGAGTCGCCGGTAGCGACGGAGATTTAGGGCGATAGGTAGGTTACTAGCTTACCTAAGGATACTAAGGCTACGAGTGTACTAGCGGAGCCTACGAGTACGCCCCCGAGCGGACTAGCGAGTACTACGAGTGTACTAGCGGAGGCAATAAGGAATAAGAAGCTAAGGAAGGAGTATATAAGGATTCCGGAGTTTTAAAGGGTTATAAGGGCGTTAAAGAAGCTATAGCGAGTCGGTAGCGAGTTAGTAGCGAGGCTTTAAAAGGATAGAAGGGCGTATAGGGTTAATAGTATAAATATAATAACGATTAAAGGCTTAGAGATCTCTAATATTAACATTCTCCCGACTCGTAGGCTAAAATTAGGTAGACTCGCGGGCGATTTAGGGATTCTACGATCTCTAAGATTCGTAGTATTATAATTTGCCCGACTCGTAGGCCTAAAATTGCTAGATTCGTAGGCGATTTAATCGCTCTAAGATTCTATATATCCTAAGCTACCCGACTCGTACGGAATCGTAGGCTAAAATTAGCTATACTCGCTATAACTCGTAGGCTAGAATTAATCTATACTATCTACTAAGTATATTTGCCCTTATATTTAGCTACGAACTACTCGCTACCCGGTAGCTACGTAATAAAGTCTATTATATAGTAGAGCTTAGCCTCTAGATTATTAATACGCTTATAGGCAAACCCTAAACCCTCCTTAAGCCTAGTAATCTTAGTTTAAAGACTCGTAGGCTTCTACGAGTCGCCTATCTCAGCCCTAGAGTTACCTATAGTAGCCCTAGAATTACCTATAGTAGCCTACGAGTCCGGCTTAGGCTTTAGCGAGTTATCCTACTTATCCTTCTACTTCTCGTACTTCTTCTAGAGCTTACTATTATAACCTAGGCGACCGTAGCGCTTATAGAACGCGTATTAAGTATATTCCTTACCTTTATAGATAATATAATCTAGACCTCTCGTAGCGTACTACTTATAGCCGCTAGGCTTAGAAGATAGTATACCTACGAGTCGATTAGATTTTAGTAGCGAGTCTATATAAATTAGAAAAAGCATACCTAGATCCGTCTCTATTATCTCGCTAGCGTAAGTAAACCGCCGTAGGCTATTAGCCGCGGACTTACGAACCTACTTATTACTAGATTTAAGATTGTTTAAATAGCGCTACTAATCCTTATCGGAGATATACTAGAATATAGTCTTATCCTACGTCTCTAGTTTACGGTAGGACTCGCTAGACTCGCTAATTAGCTTTTGCCTATTCTTTAGGCTTCGGATAGCTTACCTTAGGGCCGATATAGTTACTACTAGGGCGCTCTCGGGCGTAGACTAAGGCGGAGGCGAAGGAGTAGGTTAATAATTAGGCTAGTATCGGTCGTAGAGTCGTCTATAGATAAATGTAAGAGTCTCCTAGTCGATTAATACTATAAATTGTCGATTTACGAGTCTACGAGTACGATCTAGGTAGGAAAAGAGGTCTAGGTTCGCTAGATAAGAATGCCTTCTTATAAAATAGCCTACTTATTGTTAGTAGCTGCCTTATTGTTCGATATTGTGGACTCGTACTTACAATAGTATAAGCGCGACAATAGCTTTTAATTAATATAAAGCCGCGTACCGCTATTGACGGGTTCAATATAAAGCCAAAAGCTGCGCCTGACTTCATATTGACCGTTTACGTCGACAATAGCGGTGCGCGACACTCGTGGAGCCTCATTGTCGCCGTCGTAAGTTGTTATTGTGGTGGTAGAGTGAGTCGCGACTCACAGCGAGTGCCGCTTCGGCAGTCGGCAAAACCATTTTGCGGATTTGTAAGCTCAGGCCACCGCCGTGGCCCCGTCACGGCAGCGCCCGGCGCTAAAGAAATATTCCAACGAAGCTCGTGAACTTCAGATTGATCACTTTGAGAAAGTGGAAGAATTTGTTGCCGCAAATATGTCCGGAGGCATTGAGGAGCCATACACCATCGCCACACTTCCCAAGCCGCGTGATGACGGTCGCATATCGGCCGCACTCGTGCACAGCCTGAATGGATCGAGAAAGAGGAAGAGGCACGAGATTGCCCTGGGCATCGACGGCGAAAGCGTGAACATCTACAATGTAATGAGTACAGGAGCAATCGACTCACGAACTGTACGCTGACAATTGAATAGGTTCAGACCCAAGACATTGCCAGCTCTTATGCACTTCCTCCACATTCGCGACTTGCAGCTCCACCGTGTTCGATCTACTGCCGACGAGCGAAACCGCTCCACCCACAACGCCAGACCTATCTTGCAGTACGAGATGGTCCAAACAACAGTAAGGCGCGGATTTTGAGCATAAGAGAGAACCTGGGCAAGCCGTTAGAGAAAGAGCAGCCGCCGAGAGTGCCTGTGAAGTCGGAACGTAAACTCGCGAATGGACACATCGTCGGCATAGACATCATCGCTTCCAACAACGGGACAGAACCAGAAGACCAGTCCGTCATCGTCTCCTACACGGACGGGAAAGTCGAGTGTATTCCTGGCGATCTGTCTGGGTCCAGATGGGAGCAAGCATCGGACAACAAAATCCATGTCGAATACGCCACGCTCTTAGACTGCGAGGCCGCTCGTAAAGGTCTCCTGAAGGGTCGCGAAGATGTTCTGGCCGCCTTGGATCCTACTATCACCGATAGCGCCGAAAGCACTGCGCCTCCATTACTCTTCCAACTGACACGAACTCGAGATGGCGACGGCAGGCAAATACGACTATTTGCGCTTCGCAATACTACCGGGCTTTTCGTGCAGGGACTTCGCAATCCCATGGAGGAGTTACTGGCCTATGATCTGCCCTCGCGACATACCACATCTTCTGAGACTGGACAGTATGAGCTGCATGCTGCTTCAGGACTCCTCTATCAGAGACTGGCCACGCGCTTGACAGTTTACGACCTGTCTGGAACGCTTCCTAAGGCATCGTTTGAGCTTGGCCGTAAAGGGTCCCCGCGCGTCAGCAGCTTCGTGCGCCTATCTTCCGCCACACTTCTCGCAGTCTCCCAGGATGCGCTGGCAGTGTATGAGACAAAGTACGGCTCAATGCTAAGCTCACTTGCATACCCTCCGAAGGCGACAAGTCAAGTAGCTCCAGTCACTGCTGAAAGCCAAGAACAGAAGTCGCTATCCATAGTTGCACAATTCTCTGATCTTGGTGTGGTTGTGGCACTCTCGGGAAACAGCCTCGTCGCCTGCCAAGTCGGCGATATGCTCGATGACGGAAGACGTGCTAGAGCCCATGGTGCTCTGTTGATTGACGTGATGGGCAAAGCCAAGTTCATCGCAGACTCTGAGCCTTCAGAGCTCACTACAAAGAGGGAACAGAAGAGGCAGAAATGGCTCGAATGGACATCCAAAGTGGATCGCTACTTCCAAGAGCGAGATTTGGGCGCTCTAGAAGATCTGATTGCGCGAGATATCCACCTCAAGGATGAGGACCATTTGCACCAGCAGGGTCTGCTCAATGGGTCAAGTGGAACACAGGAGCCTGCTTACTGGGAGCTTCCACCATATACATATGATCCTCGACATTTGGATGGCAAGAAACCTACCTACATTCTTGGAAAGATGTTTGCGTGGCGCAATCCCATTGATCTGGCGAGACGACATGAACACAACCTAGAGATCACCCTGCTTTCCCGAAACATCCTGCGATGGCTTGCGATGGCAGGTTTCCTCAATCCAGCGCAAATCCAGTACGTGCTTCCTGAGGTAGCTGCTGGATTCGAGTCGAAGCCTCACGTAGCGCCTGGTGACATAATGGCAGCCATTGCAGAAGCCGAGCCAAGCTTTATGCTCATGAGCGACTTGGTATCGCTGCCGATACATTGGGATCTTGCCGAAGTTGTGCAAGGTCTGCAAATGTTTATGCGCTCTCTCGAGGATAGAGACCCTGGTGAGCCCGGCGATGATTCCGCCGATGTGGATGTCACCATGACTTACGACGTCGATGATCAAAGCCGTCTAGAAGCTGAAGTGGACGCAGCAGGGAAACAGTTGACCCTCGCGGAAAGTGCGCTGATATCTGGGTTGCAGACCAGAAGCAATGTGTGCAAGTTGCTGCTCACTCGCCTCCAAGCGTTTCCACAGAAGCAAGTCTCGCGCATGATGCACAACATGCTGACACACGAGGACATTGACTTCTTCATCTCTATCCTCCGTATCGAGCTGTCTGATGGCGGCTGGACCACTTCATACGTTGATCAGACTATCCCAGAGCAAGTGAACCCTACTGGACTGGGTAGTGCTCAAGAACACGTCCCGAGCAACCAAGGCATACGCAATATTGCACACCTTTTCAGCTGCGCGATGGACGCCGTAGGCCTCAGCGGATGGCTAGTCGGACGCAGTGGAGAAGCGGCTGCAACGCACCAGTTGATTCAGGATATTCGCAACGAGGTCAGTGCTGCCGCAGAGGGCCTTTTTGAGCTCCGAGTCATCGGTGCTTCGTTACAGGATGTCTGCAAGGCAGCCGGCCAGGTCGAACAACAGCCGCAGCAGCTCAAGCGCAAATGGCAACTGTCTGAAGAGGAAGAGCCTGGGCCGGAGGAGAAGATGTTGCCGCTCTGTGGTCGGATTGAACCACCTACGTTAGGAGCCGGCTCGAAGGCCATGAAGCTGTCTCGGGCTGCTATGGCAGAGCAGAGGAGTAAGAACGTGGGCAAGTACTCCTTTGAGCGGATCCGGTTCTAAGTAGCGTAAGCTCGATGTTTCCAGCTCTCAGTCATCTCTTCGAAGTCATGTCCAAGGACACCATTCCATCAGACAAGTCCACATTTCTCCAAGCGGGAGGATGGCCTTGGACAAATCTGAAACGGTCGTCTCAGCACCTTGCGAACACCACGTGGGGTGTGCTCTTTGCCTTCAAGCCGCGAACAGCCCCCTTCTTTTCCAGCCTCCGAGGGCTCGCCAGATCAGCATTTTCGATCTCTCAATGCCAACCACTTGTCGTCTATCTTCGCACGTGTCTCAGACCTTACGTATGAACACGGCGCAATGACGGAGAGCTCGAATGCTTTCGTATTACATCCGCTGCCTGGCGGGATGCACCTGCAGGAGCTTCCCCGATTTCTACTTCTTTCGGCACAAGAGGTTCGGTCGTCTTCTCATTTGGTGAGTGGGACTGAGAATCTAGTATCCACTTTCTCCATCAATTGAAAGAGGTTTGTCCTCGGAAACACATTGTGGACGCTTACTTGGTTCATTGGCGGGGTATATACCTTTATCAGCCGCGCCGTTGACAGCTGCCGTTCTATCACTTGGATCTCTCAATCACGCAGCACCCCTCTCCACGGCATGGTCATGGCTGGGTCAATTCGGGAAGATATCAAGCTCCCGCGTACAGGGGCACCGACATGCAACCCGGACCTGGGCCTGACTATCTGGTCGACAACATGGAAAAGGGACCCTTCAAGAACAGATTGGAGAGCTGCAAAGACCAAGTGAAAAAGCACCAGTAGCCCTTCTATCTCTCACCGAGGCACGTCGTGAATGTTCCCGGAGCACAGTCGGCAGGGCTATAAGGCGGCGATCAGGATGGGAGCTGGCTGGCAAGAGCTTCTTTGAAATTCAGGATTAGAACAAACTTGTGGATCAGGGTCTCCAGGTATCGTCGAATGTGCTGTCTGTCTCCTTCACCTCCGACCGAGGACTAGTATGTCGACAATATTCCAACTGTGACCTGCACTAGACGACAGACATACTCTCCAAGCCCGCTCTCGGGGCCAAACGCAGCCAGCGTTTCATTCCACACAACGACACCGCCGGGAAAGCTGCCAGTACCACATGTTGCAACTCCGACATCACCCTTCGCCGAATTCAAATATCTCTCTGCGCAGAGAGGGAAGACACCCACTATCTTCACTGTCATGAACACTTTCCCAAACTCTCGGCGGCCGTATCGGTTCCACACCCACAACTGGCGAACAGACATGCATGTACTCCTCCTGTCCCCGCGCCGAACCAATATCACTCAACGAGCAAATGTCCCTTCGTAGACCCCTACGATATATAGGACCAGTATATTCGCCCCTCTGGCCTCTCTCCTCTCTTTCCTCGGTCTACATGACCCTAGGTTTAGTATAATGCCCCGGACTCGGCGGCACACCACCCGTCTCCCACATCGTCATATTCGACCCCAAAACAAACTCAATAGTGCCCCCATGAACCATGACATCGTGATGCTCGAACCAATTCCTATCCCAATTCTGACCGTTGATGCTTACACTCTGCACATAATAACTGTTCGCATTGTCCAGATTGCGGGCCGTGATGCGGAGATTCTGGTCTCCGTTGATCGTCACGTTGATGTCGCGGAACCAGGGGCTTCCGAGGAGGTAGGTGGTCTGAGTCACGACGGGATAGAGACCGAGCATCTGCCACAGCATCCAGGAATTCAGGGCGCCTGCGTCAGAATTGCCCGGGACGCCGTAGGTGGCGTCGTGGAAGTATTGGTTTGCGAGTGAGCGGGAGCGTTGGACGGATTTGGCCTGTTTGTTGACGTAGTGGTATTCGTAGGGCGTGGCGAAGTCGGGCTCGTTGCCGATGTTCATGATGGTCGTGATGCCTGCGCCGTTGGCTCCGAGATCCTGTTCCGCGGTACCGGGTTGGAAGATGTAGTCGAGGCGGCGTTCGAACTCTGATGCTCCACCCATGAACTGGATGAGAGTCTGCATGTCGTGCGGGACAGTGAAAGCGTATTCGAAGGGCGTGCCTTCGTAAGTGATAGACTGCCACTCGCAGCCGCCACATAGAGCGGGATTGTAATCCGTAGTGTTGAACGGCCCAGAAGAGAGCCTTGGGACAGGGAATCCAGTAAAGCCCTTGTGCGTGAAATTATGAGCCCAGATATTCTGCCAATTGGCAGAGCGATTCAGATACTTCTCGACATCGTCAGGCGCAATTCCCTTCGCAACGACGGAGAGCGAGTAGTCGTTGAGAGCGTATTCGATGGTCCGAGAAATAGCTCGCGTGCTCTTGTCTGCCGAGACATAGCCCAGAGGAAGCCAATCATACAGGGCACCCCTACCTTGCTGTATTCCATTGCTCGGATCGACGAGGTTGAAGGTGTTGAAAGGTGTGACCTCAGCGTCTTTCTTCATGGCCTGGTACGCTTCGGTCCAATTGATGCCGGGCAGACCTTTGACATACGCGTCCGCTAAAACATTGTCTGCATTGCTGCCGCCTTGCACGAGCCCGTTATAGTTTCCACTCCGTCCATCCGGCATGAAACCTTCGTATTTCCAAATGTCGATGATGGCGCGGACCATACTCGCGTAGTAAGTTGGCTGGACCAGGTGGTAGAACGAAATTGTGCAGCGGAAGATATCCCACAGGGTATAAAAGTCGTCCCAAGAATCTTGGCTCTCCCATAGAGGATTCTCGCCCGACCGGTCGGATGGCATGAGGTGCATGAAGTACAAGCTTGAGTATAACAGAATCGAGTTTGTCTTGTTCTGAGTTGAATCTGTAGGCACACGTACTTTACTGAAAACATCTTGATTCCATTCCTGAACAGCATCCGAGACTGTGTCGTTGAGATTCCATGATATGATCTCCTGGTTCTTGTACTGGCAGGCCTTCTCAACCGAGATGAAGGAGATACCGACTCTAGACTTTATCGATTTGGCGGAAGAATTCGTCCACTGAAAGATGGCCCCCACGCGGTCGATCAGCGGTCCAGAGTCTTCTGTACTTCGGTTTCGGAATGTAGGATGAGGAATAGGCTCGTCAGAAAGCGTGTGTTGTCCCGGCACTGGAGCGGTGTTCCGCCCTCTGAAGGTGTATCCATGAGTAGGCACATCTTCAAACTCGCCGCAGAAGTAGGTCGTTGCCGGAGCACTGTTGGAGAAGCCTCCGCCGTAGATCCCGTATCCAGTGTATTCTTGACTCCCGTTTCGAATGGTGATGGATCCTCCAGCATAATACTGATCGATGTTCGACCCTCCTTCATTCGGCAAGAAGTGTGACACGTCCGTCAAGATATACTTGTCTCCGGCCGGAAAGTCATATTGGAAGATGGCACTGTGCCTCGCGCCTCCGATCTGCACTTGGACATCATTCTGCAACTGAGTCTTGAAGTATCCGACACTCGCGCTGTCATTGCCCACCCTTTCCTGCCAATAAGTTCGATTGTCCAACAGATTGACTTGCCCGTCAACGTCTGTCAGCGGCATTTGAGAAATAATACCATATTTCGGGGGCCCTCCGGTTCCAGACTCATGCATCATGGAGATTCCCGTGACGAGTCCTTTCGGTGTCCAGCCGCCGTTGATGGTGGAGAAGGATATGTTGGTCTCATAAGTGTCGATGCCAGCTTTGACGACGCCGAAAGGTCGAGCGCCGCCGACGAAGATGTCTCCTCCACCAAATGCCAGACCTGGGATAGGCCCTTCGCCTCCGATAAAGGGATTAACATACTGCGAGTAGTCATGTTCTTGTGCCGCCGCCACCTGCAATGCAGCTACCAGAAGCACCAAGCACCGCAACAGCTCCATGATGGTATAATCGAATGATACTGATAGATATGGTAGAGTACTTACCTCCCGACTAATGAACATCAGCAGCTCTCCACCGACATATATGAGTACCCATCCATCTCTGTCCCGCCAAGCTAACATTCAAATGGCGGGCTGCTGCAGGGATTGACATCATGTTCCTGAATCATCTGCGCAAACTTCACCAGCAGTGAGGGGAAACACTGTTCCTGCTCGTAACATTGAACCCTGTGCGTGCAGTCGGCGTGACTCTGCTGCGGTGGCCGGGGCGAGAGCTTGCAAGTTTGCTGACGCTGCTGCTTCTCTCCCAATGAGACCAAGATCGCCCATAGCATGCCGCATTCGAGATGAACCCGGCGAGGATTCCGACGTGGAGGGCGTTGGACAGCATTCCATCCGAGTCGAGCCGAGTTAAGCAGGACCAGCTAGTGCTACGCCTCGCACAAAGCAGTGATGGAGTGAGGATGTTGATGATGGAAGACAAATACATGTAAGGAACAAAAGAACGGCTGTGTCCGCTGATGTGGATGCCTGAGGACCCGCTTGCTCGGGAACAGCAAAGGGATCCCGACAGGAGCACGGAAAACATGAGGTAGTTTGAACAATTTCAATCGCATTTTCACATTCTCATCGTCTACTACTACGAAGGAGTAGAACAAATCATTCGCTACGAGTCGTATGCTCCCACGCGCAGACAGAAAGACCTCGGCCCATTTTCCCATGCCGTGCCCTCATTCATTCCCTTCTTCGCTCGCCGTAAAACGCCATGTCGCAAAGTGCCAGGAGCTGAGTCGAATTCATTACCGGTAGAGAGAGAGAGAGAGAGAGAAGTGCCCCGTCCAAAATCGTGCTGCGACAACGTGCGGTGTATCGTTCGCAGGAGGCGGGAACCGAGTATGCTATACAGGAAGGACAAGAAGGCGAGTGGATGCATTAATGCCGACAGTCACGTGAGGCTCCATTCCATCCGGGCAGTCCTTACAGTGCAGTTGCTTTTGCTGCAGTGGTGTGAATCATAACAGCTGCTTTTTCAGTCCGGTCCGTATGCTGTACAGTAGCCTCATATCGCCATCGACTCCGAACGGGAGCGTCGAGCCGCGTGTGTACGAGCCGCCTTGTCCTAAGAAGCGATAGCTCGACCACCTGCACGGCGATTGTTCTTAGGCTTCGCGGCTACGGTGCTCCAGCCTTCATCCTCCATCGCTTGGGCCGTGTCCTCGGGATTCTTCGCCGCGTCGACGGGCACGACCGGCTCCTGCGGCTTGGTCTCCTTGTCGTCGATGATGGTTCCGTTAGCCGGAGCGTCTGGAGTATCCATGTCGACGCCCTCTTCACCCTCCTCGCGCTGCAGTATGCTGAAGCTCGCCCGTGACTGCTGCTGTCCCTCACCGTTCTCCTTGGCCTGACCCTTGGAGCCGTTTTGTTGACGCGATGGTCGGCGATTTCCGCGTTCTGCTCGCTCACCCGTGGGTGAAGTAACCTTCTCGCCCTCCTGCTGAGCTTGGCCACGGTCTGCACGCTCGGCACGTGCTTCTCTTGCCGATGCATCCTTGGCGGCCTTCTCTTCTTTGGTCTTGTCGTCAGCTTCCTTCTTCTGCCTAATCGCGAGCTCACGCTTTTCCTCGACCTCACGTTCACGCGTAGCTGTGTCAATAGGACGTGCGGCGCCGAATGGGGACGCCTTGGAATCAGACGAGGCGGAGGCCGAATCTGGATCAGCTGTGGATACGGTGCGCTTGGCCAGGTTGAGCCGTGGGCGCTCCTTGGGCGCTTCTTGGGCTGGCGAGGTGGGTGTAGAGACATCCGGCGTCGCGGCTGGAGAAGGGTCTGGCTTCATTCTGGCACGCCACTGGCTATCCTGCTCGGCTGCGGTGGGGGCGCGCTCAGGTCGTGGCTCGAACTCTTTCCGTGGAGGCCTTGAACCAGCATCTGACCTGCCCTCGCCCCAGGCAGGGCTGGCTCTTCTCTCGTCTCCTGGAGGTCCGCCTTCTCTCAACCTCCCGCCGTCACGGACTGGTGGTCCGCTTCCCGGAACAGGTGACAATGGACCCTTGCGTTCCCAATTGGAGAAGTCGCGAACTTTTCCGTCGTTCTCGAAGAAACCTGGCTTCCGGCCTGGTGGACCGCCACGCTCGCTACCAGCATCAGACATGTTGTCGAAACCACCGCCACGGTTGAATCCTCGGTTGGATGGTTGCCGAGTATTCTGAGGAAGATCTGGTAGAGGACCCTTTCGACTCCAGTCGGAGAAGTCGCGGTTGGATTCCGGACGGTCCTTTGCTGTTGTGGAAGTTAGCACGAGATACTACCGGACATTGTTGCAATACTGACGTGGATCGGCAACGCTGATCTTCACATTTCGGCCCATGAAGTTGGACTCGGTCTTGCTCAAGGCTTGACGCAGCCCTTCTGGGGTCGCGAATTCAACATAGCCGAAGCCCTTGGGCTTGCGGTCGACCTTGTCCTCCATGATGCGCACAGTCGTCACCTGGCAGTCGGACAAGAAGCTCTCGACGTCAGCGGACGAGACATCGTATGCCAGATTGCCGAGATGTGCTGTGTACGGTGGCTTGGTGGGGAAAGGGACAGCCTCGCGCTCGAATCTTGGGCGATCTAAGACCAATTAGAATATGTCACAAATCGCGTGCTCTGCTCGTGACTTGCCGAAACTTGATCCACGTCCTCCCATGCTCATTCCACCGCCAACGCCGCTGCCAGTGCGTGCCTCGCCCCAGTTTGGCTGGGTGAAAGCGCGGCGCTCAGATGGTGGTTCGCGGTCGCGTGCGCCGCCGTAGCCGGATGGAGCAGCTGGCACCGGGACCGAGTCCATCTCGTCAGCCCATGAACCGAGCGCTGTATCCTCAGAGTCAGCATATCTCCTCTTCTTTGGCGGATAGACTCGATATCGCAAGGGCGTCGGGTGTAGGGAAGGGTTGGGGAATGCGGAGCGTCGTACATTGGTTCGTCAGGAAATCGCCCAGCGCCATCTTCTCCTGCTTCTTTTTGGGAGCTGCGATATTCTGATCAGCAGACATTCTGTTGTCCCTTCCGCGTGCAGCGTGCAGCGTTGCAGCCGTGTAGACTGCCGCGCACGGGTCTGTAGTTCATTTCGTACCCATGATTGCGGTCGTGTGCGAACCACGCGGGAGGCCGGCGCGGTTCTGGTGGGATTCGTGAAGAGTTGTGGTAGAGGAAGCTGTGTGCTGCCCTCTGATGGTCGGAAAGGAGTCGTGGAGGGGGAGTGCAGAGTGATGCGCTCGTGTGGTGGGAGTCGTGGTGAGGTCGAGCCGTCCAGAAAGATTTCGGTAGAGCCCAAGGAGGGTCGTGGATGAAAGTCGAGGCCCGTGCAGCGATTTTTGGAGGTCAAGGGTCTGTGGTCTGCTAGTGGCACCGGCGCTTCTTCACGCCGAGTCCCCCTCTCTTCACCCAAGACGTTATATCTCCATATCGGAGACACTAAGGTATAAATTCAATATCATCCTCCAACATTCACCACATCTGCCCGATCGGGAAACAGCGGCACCAGCATTCACTGCAGCGATACCTCTTGCACCCTGCCATGGACCAACAGACACCTTCACCGCCAATGCGCCCACGGCCGCGCGACGACTGGTTCAAGTCTCTTGAGCCGGCTGTGAAGATTGGCGCAGGCTGTGGTAAGTGGCATCTGTCTCCTTGTCTCCACAAATCTCGACCATATCATGAACATGCGTATGATGAATGAATGGATTCACATGCTCGAGATGGAGCATGTGTAGGGTGCGCGGGTTTATCGTTTCCTTGTCGTAGTAACGCGTCTCTATCGCTCATCTACGTGTATACACATCTGCCAAGACACGAGATCCTGACACGAGATTCTGAGATGGGTGACATGGTGCCAAACATGTGCTGACTTTCGTGAAAAGGTGCTGCTGGCTTCCTTTTTGGCGGCGCAACGGGTATCATCAAAGGATGGCCACCAGGGCTCAGTGCTACGGTATCTGCTCTACAGACCTTCGCGCTAGGCACAACCTTTTCCTTCTCTCGCTCCTTCGTGATCCGAGCATGGACGGTCGAGGGCAGACCGCCACCCTCGGGATTCGATCTCGTCAAGGCAAGCGCAGTTGCTGGAGCCGTTTCGGGGGGCATAGTCGGAGCGATAGCACGTGGCCGATCCAATGTACTTCCAGGAGCTTTCATGTTCGCACTGTTCGGTGGTGCTGGCCAATTCCTTCTCAATTCCCGTCGGGAGTCAAAGACTGAGCAACCGAAAGAGAACTTTTGGAAACGAATGAGCGACAAGAGTTGGACGCCGTTCCGTGTACTGTCGAACGAAGAGTATGCAGAGATGCTGAAAGAAAAGATGCTGAAGGTGGATGTCGAAATTGCTGTAATTGACGACAAGATTGCGGCCTTGAAAGAAGAGCAGAGGAAGGAGCAGGCAGCTGCAGCGTCTAGCGCCACGAGCACGTGATTGCAAGCAAGTGAACGACACGTCGCACTGGTAACCGCTCGAGAACCAAACACTGGTCTACACCTCGTTTGCTCCGCCCACATCTGCACCAGCCATTAAAAGCACCTCACACACAGCAGACATAAGATCAAACTCGACACTCAGCGCGCACTGGAACATCACACAGCTTGAAGTTGATCACGCATCATCACCATGTCGCAAGATCCTCGGTACACATCGTCCCCGCCGAGGTCGCGCTATCGACTCGATTCGCCTGCCCGCCGCCCACGCGATATGGAATACCGAAATCCGTACGCTGAGCCCGCTAGTACAGCTTCTAGCATCACGCGTGCTCATCGTGGAGACGGATTTTCCGATGTTTCCATGACAGACGCGGACCCGCCTCCATCACGCCCTCCTCCTGTCGCTAGTACAGCGTCAAGCCACGAGTATCCTCGCGCACCTCCTCCGGCGGCACACAGGAGGACAGCTAGTAGCATCGGCACGAACTCTTACATGGATTATGACCCGGATGATATCCCGTCGCCTCCCGTCCACTCCAGCATCTCAGGGCGGACGCCACGACAGTACTCGTACCAAGAGCAGCCCTTCCAGTCCGCGCCACGGCGTCCACAACAAGCCGCTCTCGAGGAGCACTACCGCCAATACCAAGATCCAAGAACGCTTCTACCCACTGAGGTTCGACCGCCAGTCTCGTTTGCATATGAGCTGGAGCCCGCGGGCTACGCAGTTAGTCACCAGCAATACTATGGCACACCGGAGCACCGACTAGAGCGGCGGCATCAGGAAGAATCACATCTGCAAGCGGTGCCAGAGACAGCGCGCCAAATCACTCATTCTGAGGTAGACATGGCATTCTCTCGACCCTACCAATGGCAGGATGAATACCGGCCTCGAGCTTCCCCACCACCGCCAGGAGTGGATCCACAGTTGGATTGGCAGAGCAAGGAATTGTACGGTCGTCCCTTCGTCTACGAGCAAGACCGTACGTACACCGCGTCGTCTTCATCCGGAAGTGCAGCAGAGTTTCGAAATACGCGTGGCGCAAACTCACGCCGCCGCGAAGAGCATCAAGACCTTTCCCGAAGCCCCCGGCGGGCGGCCCCCCGGGGGAAGGAGCGAACTAGTCCGCACGGCGGCTCTCGACAAGGTGCGTACGGCCTGCAGCGATTTGTCTATCCGATAGAAACAGCCCAGGATCTTCCTCCCGCTGACTCTAGTCGGAATAGGAATCGATGGATAAGAGACGACGGCACCTTCGTTGAAATGGAAACCCCAAGAGGCACCAGGGTCCGATACTACGAGGAGTATCTGGAAAGAGAGTGAAGAGAAATACTGCTTCAAGACGAAGCGCAACACAGCATCGAAGGCCAGACGGCATTTGAGCACTGTGACGCAGCCACGCCGGGGAATGGAGATTGTCTCAGTTAGTGCGAGGAGATACAGCCTTACAGGATATCTCAAAGCTTCATTGAGGCGCGAGGGGCTTGCACAAGGGAGGCTGGCGCTTTCGACGGCAGATTTAAGGTGTTGCGCGCGGCGAAGAAGAACGACATGCCCATCTCATCCCCACTACGCGACGGGATACCAGAGCATTCATGCCCTCATCAAAGCAACGAGGAGACAGATCACCCATCGATCACGACTGATCGATTACGAAGGTGGAAGATAGAGTAAATGGAAGCCCATGCCGCAATCCTGCCGGCAGTCCAACTGCTCTCCCGTTATGGTCTCGATCTACATGTTCAGTCTCTCACCGCGCTATACCAGCAACGGAGACATGTGGAATTCTCGTGGCAAGAACCGCCCAGTCGGAGGCCGCTGACTCGCTATAGCGCTGTCCTGCCTCGAAATAAGCTCGTATCCGACTGCTTTTTGGTCCGGCAGCCTGTTTGACTGACAGACAGATTTACAGGCGTTATCCTTCAGGCCTCGCATCGCATCGCATCGCATCGCAGAAAACTTTGATGACAGCGGCTCATTCGCGCCGCTCGTTCCTTATCGCCTCGCATCCTCGAGAGAAGGCAGCGCGACGATGTTGTTGAAGCATACAGCTAGCTACTCGTACGAGCATGGGCACGGCAATTGCTTATATATCATATGCACCATGTGCAAACCCATCACCACTCCCTCGCCCAGGCCTTTGCAAGCGCCGTGATCAAGACAGCACACAGCGCGAGCGCGCGAGTGGACTATACGGCTGGCGGGCTGGGAATGCGTCTTGTGGACAGTGCAGTGGTTTCGGGGGTTGTGTGTGTGCTTGCGGCTGTTGATGGGAAGGAAGGAGGATTATTGTGACTGACCCGCCGGAGTAGTGAGTGTATATATATATATATGTATGGACACAGACACGCACACATACACACGCACACGCCAAGCCTGGCTATTGTGAAACGAAGTGATGGAAGTTACGTACCACGTACCTTCCCTTAATAATATCAACCACCAACGCACCAACGCACCTTCCCTTTACACACGTTCCCCGGCCGGGAGCCCTCGCGGCGCAATCCGAACTCAGCTTCCATAGATACCGTACACTACACTGAGCAGGGCAACGTGTAATGGAGATCCAAAAAAGGAAAGGAGCACGTGAGCCGGAACCGTACCACCACGTTAAATAAATCGCGCAATCCACGCGCGATATGGTATGAGGCATTTTGAGGCAACCACCAACAAGGTCACACTTCGGGAGAGAGGGTTCGAGCAGAGTTGGTCATCTGGTACCGCGATTGCACCATTGTTGGTAAGAATTTGTCTCCACGTATATATCAATCCGCGAGGCTCGCCCTCCGCAGATAGTTGGTTGGATTGTGTTGCTCTGTTGTAGTTCCGCCTTGCTACGCCAGGAGCCAAGGTCTCGTGTCTACTTTCTACCTCCTCCATCGAGACATCCCATAGTGGTATGGGTTCATTCCTCTTCTCGACTACCTCTTCTCATCCCTCCAGCACTGGCAGCTGTCTCTCCAGCCGACACTGGGAATCTCTCAGATCGCTTCTCCCATGAAAAAAAAAATGCATCATCAGTCGCTTGAACGCTTCAAAACCGGGTGCGCACGCATGCGTCTTTGCAATGACAAATGAAACCCCTCCTCTTCAACAGGCGCTCACGCCCTCCCACCGCTTCGGTACTCGTCGGCCTCTTCGCGCCGCAGGAGCAACACTCACTTCTCTTGGAGCAAGCCAGATCTTAGCGCGACCTTGTTCCAACTTGCCTGCTCGTCGCATATTCATCTCCAACACAACCACCCGCAGGAAATTGGAATTCTCGCGGACTTCTCGCTGGCGAACTCCATCGCCTCCCAAAAGCGCTCGGCCGGCTTCAGAATTGGGATTCGGGCCTCCTCGCCGAGCGGATCCACCGCGCTTTCGGCCCCGGTTGTAAGTCTGCATTTGGATGATCGGTGCATCCTCCACGATTTCCGCCAGGAATGGAGCGTGCAATGCCTGCTGGAATGGCGCCTCTTGCTCTTCGAACACGAGGGGCTGCGGGTTGAGATATCTTCTTTCGGCCAGCGATGGCGTTCCAAGCACAGAGGGCCTCATCTCGGAGCTGAGCCGTGGAAACAGAAATGGGTGCGACCAGAGCGCATCGTCGATGGGAGGAGACGGGAATCTCGTCATAGCCTGTGCCGAATTTACCCTTCCGAGCGAGGAGATCGAATTTACCGCGGCATTCTTCAAGTTCTGCAGTGAAGTGGTAAGATTGGATTTGAATGATGATCTGCTTTTCGTCGCGGGTGTCTGCTTTTGCACGGGCAGAAGGAAGTCATCGGCGTCGTCGGATTCCGCGCGAGGAACCAACGGATGATCCAAAGCGCAGTCCTCGCTCGCGGGTAGCGAGCGCGCTTTATCCCTCTTGAGATTCTGGTAAGATCTCCGACTCCGTAAGGATTCGGGTGTAGAGGGACTACCCACGGAGAGGATAGAGCGATCGTCGGATTCCAGCGACGGCATCGACTCGCTTGATGCTGACCTCGCATTGAGGTAGCACGGTTGGGACAGGCCGCTGTCTTTCCGCGGCGCATCCTCAAACAAGTACTCATCGGTGTCCTCCAACAGTACGTTGAGCGCTGGACTACTGCCATAGCTCGACTTGAGCGAATGATCGGTCTTCCAGTCCCTCACTAGCTCCTCTATCGAAATGCGACGTTCTGGGCCTGACTTGCCACGATACCGATTCCGTCGTCGCGGCGGGATCGCTGTTACCGCGAGCAGGACGGCAACTGCTGGTGGGAGCGCATTCGGATCGTGCGCGGAGGGCTTCCGTCGGCCGCAGTGATAGGTGGCACTCTTGTATGAGGGCATGGCGCTTGTAGGAGTCGTTGAGGTTGACGTCGATGCGCTGCGATCTGGTGCTGCGTGGGCATTGGAAGGCTTTGTCGGTGAAGGAATGGCAACGGGTTCCGTCGTGCATGTGGTGGTAGACGTCGTTCGCTGCGGTGAAGACGGTCGTAGGGAAGCAGGCGAGAACGTGTCAGAGGGAGACGAGATCGCCTTACGAGCAGTAGATGGCCGGGAGCGTTGTTTAGTATCGGGCTGGCCGTCGGCGCTGGCGCCGGACGAGTATTTGTAGGAGTGCGGGACAAGCATCATCTCGTCTGGACTGGCACGGTGTGCCGGGGGGGTGGTTTGGGGCGGGCGGTTCCAGTTGAGTAAGTGTTTAAACCGGGTGCGAAGTCTCGTTCGGTGCGCGCGACGGGCGGCGAGGCAAGCGCAAAGGCTCGGCGTATCACAGTATACGAGAAGTGGTCGCCCAGTCACTGGCTGTGACGTTGGCCTCTCTAGCAGGCAGGACCAGGGAGTTTGAGACGACCTAAGAGCGGGCCGTGTGATTTGGACACGTAAAAACGGAGCCCAGGCCTGGGAGAAAGGGTCCAGCGGAGGCAGCGATTACTCGATCAGAATCCAGGATCGCGGTAGACGGGGCCAGGGAAAGATCCGCCGACCGCAGGTGGTAATAATAATAACAACGGGGGGCGCAGGAGTTGTTGACACGGAATTACTGTCGACACCAGGAGGTACACGTAGAGACGACGAGAGAGACGGCGACGGCGACGATGATGATGACAGACGACAGATGACAGATGAGAGATGGGAGATAGAGACATTACTGTAAGATAGCAGCCGCGCAGGAGACGGCCACGGCCACACGCCGACAAGCTTTCTGCGGATAGTAGATGACGCTCCCGCTGGTTGGTCCAAGGTACTTTTAGACTCACTGATAAGGAGACCAACACGAACCCTCGCACGCGACCATTCGTCTCACAGTGTGCAGCAGCCTCCCGGGAGACATCCCGCCGCAGCTGCACGTCAGCTATTGGGCTGTGTTGTTGCGCTGTGTGTGCTGCATCACTCACATGACGCCGGCGATGCTGCCCTGCCAAGCGATTATCATCCTCGTCCTCCATGTCGTCGTTGGCTGATATGCTGATAGCTGTGTGACGCTGCTCCGGCGAGGTGGCACGTCGCCAGCCCAGACAGGCTTAGGCCCGACGGCACATCACCGTGCATGCAGTGACGGGAGCTCCCGTGTGCAGCTGTGGGCGGCCTCCCGCGGCCCGCTCTGTGATGTGCTCTTTCCATTCCTCGAACATTCTAGGGCCGATCGCTTGTCGGTGTTTTGGAAGGCGTCAGCGTCTACTGATTGGCGCGGCGATGCTCCCGTACCCGACGGCTCTGCCCTCGCGAAGACGTCCGCAAGTCCGGTAAGGTATTATGTATTCACGATCAGTCAGAAAAACAAGCCGAAAAACCACACGCACTACTACCCGTACGCTCAGATTGCCAGGTACACCGCTCGCAACAGGTCGTCGACACGGGACTCGCGTGCCTCGACGGGCCTGTTCTCGCGGCCCGAAGGGGGGCACTCCGGCGGTCTCCTTGCTCATCTTCGGACACCCGACTACTTCGCATCCACAAAACGTGGCATCCTGCGCCCCGGCGACTCCCGCAATACAGCCTGAGGGTTGGTCTTGCCTGCTTGGGGAAACACTCGCATCATCATCACTGTCCGACTCGGGAAGCTACTGCTATGATCCCGCGGCTGGCATGTGAAAGGAACCAAGGTGAATGGCCAGAGATAAGACACCTCTACCAGCATCCACCACACGCCGACGGCCAGCTGTAGCAACTCTCACGACGCAGCTACCTCACGTAGCACCCGACGAGAGCACGTGATGCTGCAGAGCCCACGACCGACCCACTTAGGCACCCGACTTCATTCACTTACAACAAACGATCGCCGCGAAGCAGCGTCTCCAAACGGAGATACCACGTACCCCTATCGCCTTCCGCAGATTACAGGCGTCCGCGATGAGCGCAGAATCGCATCGCCAAATATGGCAGCGCAGAGCCGGTGCTGCCCGAAGACAATACTGGCGTAGAGTATTGCTGCCCGAAGCTCTAGTCTAGGGAGTCGGAATTACAGTAGACTGCCAACACTCTCACTGCGCTGGATCGAACTTCGCCTATCACTGCCCCATGGTCGCATTCTAGCCCGAATACATTTACCGGGGTCCCTTTGTGCTACACCGCATCAACCGCTGTCATCACCGATCAATGAAGCTTTGCACCAGGACGCGTTCGTTCAGGATCATGTAGGGGAGTGTGCGGCACCGTGATGCCTGCTAACACGTAAACTCAAAAGGCAGGTCAGCAAACCCGCCACGAACTGCAGACTACAACCACGAACCGTCAAGGTACCTCCCATGCTCATCAGCCCACTCATCACGCGGCTGTCTTCTGGTGACGACTGCATGTTCACAGAATACTTGACCGCGTTCAATGCCACCACATGCGTGCCGCTACTCCACGCTTCGAACAAGTCACCGAACAACATCGGTCATCTACGTGACAAACCAGCTTTCACTTTCGAATTGGCGGTCCGAAACGTTGGCGTTGCTGAAGATAGGGAGCTCTTCGGGTACCGAAAGCGCTGCGTCCCTAGCAGCTAAGTGCAGCACACCGTCAGAAAACACTTTCCCCAACTTTTCCCGAGTCGAATCATACAACGACCAGGCCAATGACGGCACTTGCTCAAGACGACTGCCACGACTTAATAATGAGAACCCACCTCCTCGAACAACCAGTGAGAGGAGCACCGGCTCGAGGTTACATTCAAAGTCCTCCATCATCATGCCAAGCGAGCTGGACCTGGGTCGAAGTCGAAGACGGTAGTGGCTGAATCAGCGCCAGCATTCACATCATACACGATAGAAATGGGACCCATTGCTGCAAAGCGTCAAACGGAACACAAGATTTTTCTTGCTTGCCAGCGGCCATGACGAAGACGAAAGCTCGCGGTGTCGCTGGCTTGCAACCTCAATCCGCACTTTGCGAATCAGGAGGACTGCAAATGGAGATAGACTCTCTGCCAAAGAGCTTCCGCTTCAGATGCGACTCCGGCGAGGATCCGTCGTTCTTCTCCTACGGCCGACGTGCGCATACCGGGACGGCTTTTCAAAAGGTCTCCAATACCCGTCTTCTGCATATCCTGTTCTCACACCAGGTGCAAGATAGACTGTTTGCTCTTGAGACTGAAGGGCGTGATACCCTCTCGACCGCACCGAGGACCTTGCCAACCACATTCCAATATCCTCGAATGCTTCGACCCACCATGCACTTCCACCCAGCAAGGCGATGGTCAGAGGAACGGCTGATGCCCAGTAGACCTATTGACTGATGTTCAGGTTTCTGATATCGGACGTGTTCATTCCGAAGACGCGCGACCAGAGGCGGAAACTATTATCGGAATCGCTTGTTTGTAAGTCTCGCTGGTCCCGACTTTACCACAAAACTTATCCTCGAGAAGATCATGGTGTCGATGGTGGAGACCGTGATCCCCGTCTCCTGTCTATCCGTATTATTCGTCTCAATCCCTCCAAGATGCCATTTCCCCCCAGCTCCTCAGCCTGGACCTGCAATGCGCCAAGAAATCCCAACCGCGAGGCAATCGTGGACTTGCACTGCTGCGAGATAAAAACGAATTGCCCTTCACGCCGATTCTGGACTTACCGAGTCTTGACAAAACACGCTGACAACTTCCAATCCGCTCGCCAATGTGGTGGCGATTGCTTCTTCTACCTCTTGCTGAAACATTCGGATGGTTTTCGATAGGCGCGAGTGAGCGGGTTTTCGAGCAGCTTGGCTTCGAACTGTGGGAAGTAATCGCTGTATGTCTGTGGGACGTCTGGAATGCCTTCTCGCAAGATGTCCTGGCAGAGATGAGTGATTACGAGAGCAGCGATGCCGGAAGGAGCATAGACTTAGTAGCCCTCGATCGCTTTGGTCCCACCCAGACCAAGGAGGAGGGATATCTTCCCACCGTCAAGGATATGCTCTACGACCCCGCTCAATTCGCCAATTCGTCAGTCGAATGCCGCTCGACGCTGTTTGAGACACCAAAAGGTTCAAACATGTATCTAGTAGGACATTGCAACTCCGCCGGACGCTTGCGAAGAACCAAATGGACCGGCTTGCACGACAATTTCGCGTCCGTCGTTTCTTACGTGCCCGTCGTGAGGATGTCTTCCACAGAGCTTTCTGCAATACATGGAGCCTCTACTATATCGTCTCCCGGACTCCCTTTTCTCACGACGATGGATCTCGTCCTTCGGATTTTCCCCGCGCATTATCACTCGCGTCCCATCCTCTCGCCGTCTTGTGAGCGCCTCTTCTCGCTCTCGTTCTACCCTCTTTTATCACTGTCCCGCACGGACTTCGTAGTTACGCCATGTGCGCAAGTCACTTATTCCTCAGATCTAATAACGTGTGATACGTACGTAGTTCATCCAGATGTCTGGGTTCTTGACCGATCTTTTGCTTGTACTAAGAATTTGAGGGATGTGACAGGTGAAGTGCGCTTTCCGTGACCGCTGCGGCTGAGGTGCATTAGGCCGTACCCACATTTGCTGATCCACCATGTGAAGTAAGGGAG